CCAGTCGATTGCTGACAGGCACAAAGCATAGCGCTTCAACGTGAAAAAAGGATGAGTTATTGGCAGCGCGTTCTATTATGTCTGTCTGTCTGTCGTACGTGATGTTCCGAAAAAAAGAAAAGCGATGTTTGTGTCCCTGGCGAAAACCGTTTGAGGTAACCCTTGGGTAAGATGGGCCTCTGTCTAGCCCCCCACAATAAAAATTTAAGAGCCCCCACTGGACGATAATTTCGAAAGTCTTTAACGGGTACCTCATTTTCAAAATCTGATTCCCTGAAAGGTCTTTGTTACATTTGGCATATTAAGAATCTGTTGCAGTGAAAATCGTTCTCCATGCACTTTTATGTGGGAGGTCCGCTGGACGTTCTTCGGGTATTTTGCAACGCTTCATCAGGTCATGAGGTTCTGTAATCTTGAATAGGGTACGGTGATTATTAGGGTACTGACACGACACGATAACCCACTGGCCTCAGGGGTGCAGATTCCGATGTCAGAGAGAGGTTACATACAATCATAACATTTGTCATTAAAAAATTCTTTGAGCGCAAGTTGGACCACGGACCTCTGACTCACGCATGGCCTGAGCCTGATTGTCGCAAAATATCTCCGAGCTCTGTTGCAGTTACAGACAGACAAAGAAAGATAAAAGAGCACATGGCGCCTTCGTGTGACGTAGCCCAAGGTCGCTTTAAACTTGCACCCAGTTCAATTCCCTGCACTGAACACGGCACAATTATTTTTACAGGACGCCTTACACGTGGTTCAATTGCCTGCCTTCATCTCATGCTCAACCTAATCAGAGGAGCGAAGAGCCGAGATCGATATATCTGCGCATGCGCCAACTAATCGATGGCAGGAACCATTTCTTCCTGGAGAAGATTCACCACGAAAAAGAACTGCTAATTCACAAAGGACCTGATTTTTTAACATTAAAATACATTGTACCTTCTCTTCACAATCCGTTCCACCAGAATTATGGCTATTTATTTTTTTACGGAAGCATGAGACGGTCTAAAGGCGACTTCAATTTCGACAAGGAAAGATCTCCAACCGTTCAGCTTTTCGATTTTTTTAATCTGGACTTCTTTACTTCACGTAACGAAACTGATTCTTCTGACGGCGTAGTTAATGTTCCAGAATCCTCTAACGTACACCTGAATATTGACATAGAACTCCACTCACCGTTAAGACTGGCACCAATAAGATTTTATGATAACTGTCTAGCATATCTTTGGCCATCCAGTGTAGGCGTGGACGGTTATCGCCAGATCCGCTTCAGGTGAATCATGGAACCAAATTCCTCTTGAAAATTTCTATAAATTGCTCTGAGTCTCTTGCAAACGGCCTAACTTCTACGTTCCAACATATTATAAGCTCTAGCAAAATTGATTATCACAGAAGATTGCTGTCTTCTGGGTTGTTGCGCTGTGTAGTCTGGTAGATTTCCACCGTTTCAGAGGTCCTTGCTGCCTCCGTCATCAGGGCGATGAATGTGCCAATCGAGCAAAAGGTCCAGGTTTATAGGGACCGGACAGTAACCGGAGTAGCTTGATCTTAGCCAATGAGAGCAAATCTGGAGTGCGTGGGGACCAATAGAATAACTTTCGCCAGGTCCAGCGGTGTACATTCATAGCCCTGTTGATGGAGGCAGCAAGGACC